AATGTAAAAATGTATCAATATTTTTTTATATTTTTTTAAACAAAATTAATAATTGTTTAGTTTCCTTTTTTAGACAGATCAGGTCAGATCAGATCGGGTCAGATCAAATGTATATTTAATTCAGGTCAATTTTATGTCTGACCTGACCTGACCTGTTCAGAGCTCTAATAGTAGCTAAGTTTATTCTACTTCTAAACTAGCAATCTGGATTTGCAATTGTTCAGATTGATTCTTCTGTACCTATAAAATGCAATATCATAACGGAACTGATATCAAAGCTTTAGCCTATGTCTAGAAACGTGAAGAAAGATGCTTAGCTAGAGTTAGTAATAATTCTAATATTTATTTATGGATATATAAAAAGGGTCATCAATGGAAGGCGTCATATAAAAATATGAAACAGAATTATAGATGGTATAATATTTGCCTAATGTACCAAAAGAACATGTCAATATATATTCGAAGATTTATTAAATAAAAAATTCCCACTTCGAAAACCTAAATTTTTAGAAGGTTTACACTTAGATAGATATAATGAAGAACTAGGTTTAGCTTTCGAATATAATGGTAATCAACATTACCAAATCATACCTTTTTCATTCAGAAGGGCAAATGAATATAGATATGCAAATTCAGCGTGATTGGAAAAAGAGGACATTATATTATGAAGAAGGAGTAATCCTTATTATAATATCCTATTGCGTTATAGACTTAGAAACTTTTATAAAAAGCACATTGTATGCATTCAGTTATCTTTTAATATTCACCTAAGAGGAAGTATTGGCTTTTCTTTAATATGCATTTATTGTTCCCTTACAAAGGAATATTGAGATCCTGAATCATCTAAATAATATAAAATAGGCATCAGAAGATTATTTTCAACAATAATTCTTTGGATTTTATGTAGGCTAGGGATCATATTAGATCTGTTATCCTGTATTATTTGAAAAGATCATTTTCTCATTCTCCTTTAGCAAGTAAAAATCAGACAGTAGTACCTTTTGGCAACTGGGTTTCATCAATGCCTAATAGGCAATTATATCTTACCGATGGTTTAGAATATAACTGATCAAATTTTGTGGCATTATTAGAACTCATTCCAATTAATCGAGTAGGGTTAACATTCATATTATCAACATTTCTCCTTGCAAATTGTTTACATTCTTTACAGCGTTCACTAGTAGGCAGGAGAAACTCTACTGAATACTGATTTTAAAAACTCTTAATATAAACTATCCATCTATTCTTCTTTTTATATTTTTTAATAAACTTCTCGTGTTCTTCAGCAAAGAACTTTTCAGTTGTTTCTCTCATTTCTTCTTGTGTCGGATATATCGACGTATTTAGGA